ATATTAATATAAACAAAACGAGTTATATAAAATATTTAGGGGTTACTATAGATGGTAATTTAAAGTGGCAAAGGCATATTCAAAATATCACAAAAACCTTAAGATGTCTACTTTTTAAATTTAAATATTTTAGTTCAATCTTGAGTATAAATTACCTAAAAATAATTTACTACTCACTTGTTGAGTCTAGACTGCAGTATGGAATACTAGCATGGGGAGGGATATATCAAGTTCATCTAAGGACATTAGAAATAATCCAGAAACGTATACTGAAAATTATGCTCAAAAAATCTAACATTTTCTCAACAGATTTACTTTTTGAAGAATCTCAAGTTCTTGATATTCGCCAACTATTCGCCTATTCAATTTTAATTTCAACATTTAAAAATAGAAACAAAGTATTACACGATATTGACCACAAATATAGTACTAGACAAAAATCTCGTCGTCAAGAAAGACTCTAGGACAAAGGTGTTTTACTTACTTAGCACCAAGGATTGTTAATTCACTACCCGAAATGTATAAAATATACCTTAAAACAATTAATTCAATAATTTTCATTAAAAATGTTTTCAAAAAATTCTTAGCTAATACGAACAGAAAATATATATATATATATATATATATATATAATTTGATAGATTCAAAATAATCATATATATGCACAATAGGTAGGTAAATACTTTTTAATTTTATTTTTTTTATTATTCTCATGTTGCTCTCATTTTGCCACTATGTAACCGAATCTCTAGAATGCATCTTACTAATTACGTATTGTCATATCATTTAAATATTGTATTATTAATTGAGTTAATATATTTTTATTTCATTTTTTTTTCTTACGAATCTTCACTAGCTGCAAATAAACAAGTCCAACCCGTGCACAACCATTAGTTTTTACGGGCTCACTATTGTTTATTTACATCTACCCCCTTAAAAAAAAAAAAAATATTTTGTAATAATTTGTATTTTTTGTTTCTTGTAAATAAACATTATTATTATTATTATTAATATTTAGTTTTTGCTTATAAGTTTTAAAAAATTTGACAAACGTTTAGTTTAAGTTTCAAGGTTAAAATGTAATTCTGTACAGAGATAAATATGTCCCTTATCTCTGATTCTGTAAAAGTGGCTAAAGTCAAACATAAAATATTTAAACACAGCCAATTCTAATTATGATTTTTTGCGATAGCTCGTTATTAATATTGCGAAAATTAGTATGCTAGCGTTAATATGAAAGAATCATGGTATTAAACAAATTGTTAAAGTATACCGCAAAATTTTGCTCCACTCTAGTCCCACAATCAGACAAACTCCCCGTACTAATACTCCGGCCGCACAAAGTATATATATGTATATCTCCTATCTCGCCGGAGACACCTTGAAACTTCAACCCGCTTCTCTGGCGCGATATCTCGATGATTTCAATATTATCTATTCGCCGCAATATTGCTTTATGTATGTATATATTTCGAATGTTTACTGTAGCCAAAATGAGTTCACTTGTACGTCCTTTCCCTCCCGTTTTTTGCTTTCGACGATGAATTTGCTGCTCCGGTTAGAGAATAAATCAATATTAAACGCATAAAAGAAGTCGGAATCTCATACATATCGTTCGAGTTACAAGCAAAGCTACAAGTGTGCACGTCGACAAAAGAAAACGCCATCTGGTTTAGCGGTGACGCATTGAATAGACATTTACTGGGTAGCAATTAGGCATTACAAAAAAAGAAAATATCGTTGAGTTGAAGTGTTCGATATTTATCTTCGTGAAATACGGCTCAATTTGGTGATATGCAGCTACGAAATTTTTAACGCCGAAAAAATACCTAAAAATAAAATATATAAATATGAAAAATATCTAAAACATATGACAAAAGAAACAACCTAATCAAATTTTTGTCTCTTAAAAAATTATCTATACTCTGTTTTTCAACTAAGAGGAGCGAATTGAAAAGTTCTATTTACACGGAAAAATAACTAAAAAAGTAAGTAGATATCATGTTAGCGGTAAATTTGAATTTGTCTTGTATCATTTCAAGAAAAACATTTCAAAACTTTGTTATGAATTCATTGAAATCAAAGTTTTAGATAACGAACGATTAAAGATGACAATAAATTGTGCTCATTCCGTTTTTGATTTATAATTATTGTATTTTAGTTGTACTTTTATTTTTTCCCTACTTCATCTCATATCGCAGCTCGGACCAGTATGTTGGGAAGGGAAGAGAATCGCCCAAGCAGCGACCAAATGTCAGTAAATTGAGCAAAATGTCTCCCAACAAAATACAAAATAATTTACATTTTAAGTTTAACTTAGAGTTTTAATTCGATATTTTATTCATTGTTTTATAAGTAACTGTGATTAGAAAATTATATATTTATTATAATAAGAGAAAAGAGAGCAAATAGTAGGTTTTTCAATTTGATGGAAAAATTAGAAAAATAGGTATGCCAGTTATATTTGTTGAAATGAAATTAAGCACCTATCTATTACAAAACATATTTAGGAGAAACTGAAAAATATGTAGTTAAAGAAAAGCTTATTTAAAATGAACAATTTTGGCAGGTACAAAAAATAAAGTTTATTTTTATATTTCTTTAAAGGGAAAATAGTTTAATTTGTAATATTTTTTCTTAAAATTAAACTAAAAGATTACCATTAGTTGTATGGATTTCCTAATTAAATAAGGGTTCTTTCTTCAGGTAAAATGTAGCAAAGTTCTGAAGTACGATAGGATATGTTTGCAGACAAGTGTTTTGAAATGAAATAAATCAAATCTATACGAATTTTGTCTCCACTAACAAGATGTTATATTTAACAGTCGAAAGTGTAAACTTGTTGGCAACAGCTTATTAAATGTATGTAGAAGTCCAAGAAAGTGCAATGGTACTAGCTTTTACTATAATATAATAATAAAGGTCTTTATTTTCATATTTTACAGATCAATTTCAATATAAGTTGGCATTGTGAATTACATTAAATCAGTATCTATAATTATGAAAAAAGCCGAAGATCAGCTGTATACGTCCACAAGACGTATTAGCTGTTTTTCATCTTAAGCTAGGATGGTTTTTATCATTCTCCTGTTTTTTTGTAGATAGGATTTATAATTGTTGCTTAAATTCTACATTGTGTATCAGAATGTCTTTGGTCTTCTTAAAAACATATTTTTATACAATATAAAGCAGATGGTATATTTTTTTGAGACATCCTTCAAGCCTTTTGAAAATTATATGTTTATTTGGAGGTAAGATAATATCTATCTTAATTTTGTATGCTCATTTATTGTATAGACAAATAATTAAATAAAAATTATTATGGTATAAAAAAGGTAATTTGTAACTTTGTGTCAGCAGAAGGATTTCCTACACCCAATTTCATATATTTTTTACAAACAAATAAAAGGTCTTTAGTATGATCCGTAGATATTATTAATAATTCAGCACTGCATATGTTTCGGAATCTTCTGGTGCAGTCACAGCTTTTTAAAATTTAAAAAAACATTTAAGAACATAAACACTTTAAAATGATCATGGACGAAACCCATATTTTGTGATAGTGTGTAGGTAGCTTACAACTAGTTGATTAAATTAAAATACACGTTTGACAAATCTTTTACACATTCGCAGAATATGTGTAAGTGTAGTTATAATCTTTGCAGTCTATTCTATAAACTACATTTAGTTGAGTTGCTTTCTTGAGTTTGGGTTTAAAATTTGAAAATAAGGTTTCGTTGTATCGTTTCGTTTACGAGCAATTTTTACATTATATCTAGAGAACATTTTTGACACTTGTTTGGAAAGTCCTTTTACATATAGCAATTTAATGTTTAAAAAAGGGTACCACACCAAATGTTTTAGTGATACACTTTGACAATTTCTTTTCAAATATCTAAAAAAATATATACATAATAAATAAACAGTACATTTGACTGGTCAAAGTTACAAACTTACTTAGTTATTATATCTCAAGAAAGTATATAAAGATGAATAATATATTTGTGGCAAATCTAAATGTTTCAATTCTTGCAAAATTTTATTCAATCTAGATATCTCATTTTTGAAAAAGAAATCCTGTACTAATCTTCAAATAGCATTTATCATCATCAAATGTTTTTAGAACTCCTCGTCTTCCATAAATACTTTTTACACTAGATATTGTTCCATTATTGCGGTATTATTTCAATAATCGGTAAGTAGTTCACTTTGACCTGTAAGAAAAATATTGAGTATTTAATATTATTTTTAATTTGAAAGTAATGAGTAAAACTTACCGGTAGCTTAAGAAATTTTGGATATTACATCAACAATTTTGGTTTTCGTATTATTATCCAATACCTATTTGTACATATTTATTATTTACTGCTTTTCTGAGAGACTTGAATAGCCTAAACTCATTAGTTTTCGTTATTTTGATGAACTCCGCGAGGAACTGTTATAATAGTATTCGATGTAGAAGGATCCATAATCGTAAAAATTCAATACAATTGCTTACTAAAGTTTTGAAAAGAACTGTTATTAAAGAAATTCAATAAAAAACTAAGTTTTAATGATGAGATATCAAAGCAATAACAAAACTTAAATTATAAAATGTCAGAATAGAAAATAGAACTATCAACAGTAGCTAAAAAGTGATGTGTGAAACTGACTTCAATCTGACCAATTAGTCTACAGAATTGCCAACTTAAATTCAAATCGCTCTTTTTAGTTTAAAAACAGAGTATAGATAGTTAACTAGATAAAGGTCACCATATAAAAACAATATTGCCACTCTGTTTTAGAGATAGTATTACTAGGTGAATGATTATTTAGCAGTCTTTTTAAATCTGTGGGTCGCGATCCCTACGGGGATTGCGAAGCCTTACTCAGGGGGTCACCGGCTGAAAGAAAAAGTCGAGGTTCTTGCACAACAAAAACACAATTTTAGTTAGAAGGATGTGCTTGTTTATTTTTCAAAAGTTTATCAAATTGTGGTGCTATTTTTGAAATGTTAATAATCAAATAATTTTCTTATTGCAGTCTATTTCTCTTTTTAATTTAATGTCTACCATTGAAGAAAATTTCAGTTCACACAAGTATGAAGTGGCGAATGGCACTAATAGTTTAAGAGCTTCCTTTGCCAGCTCTGGATATTTGTGTTTTCTTATCATCCAAAATACATCAACACTTTGCGAATAAAATTCCATTTTAAGCATGCTATCAGCAGCTAAATCTAGAAGACATTCTTTCATTTTTATTGTGACATCAGTCAGATCTATTGATTTGTCCAAAAAAGGGTTTAAAATCCATCTACGCCCATTGTCAGCTTGAGTGCAAGTCTGGAAAGTATGTCAAAAGTGTCTCTAGTAAATTATGCAAGGAATGTGAGCCGATACTGCAAAACTTTGGTCTGTTGCATTATCTTCAACAATTTTCTGAACACATGGAAAAGACTTAAACATTTTGTTTTGCAGATAAGTTGACCATAAACGAAATTTTGCGTGAAATGCTTTTACTTTATCTTTAGCTGTTAAGATATTTTCTTCTTTTCTTTGAAGGTTCTTGTTCAAATTGTTAAGGTGGCTAAAAAGATCTGCCAAAAATGCTAATTTCAAGAGCCAAATAGGGTCAGCAAAACGATAAGCATATTCAGATTTTGCATCTTTTAAGAACGTTAACAATTCAGCTCTCATTTCCAGAACTCTTGTCAGTACCTTTCCTTTGGATAACCACCTGATAAAGGAGATTTTGATAAAGCGAGCCCATATCTTCACAAACGATTCTAGATAGCCGGGTTTGCAAAGCTTTACCTTTGATAGAATTCACAATTTAAATCAGAAGATACTAACTTAGCAGCTAGAGCCTATCGATGAAGAAAACAGTGTGTCCAGGATATGTTTGGCATTATTGATTTTAATTTTGCAATGAGTCCGCTATTTTTGCCAGTCATAGCTTTAGTGCCATCACTACAAATAGCGATACATTTTTTCCAATCAATATCATAGTGCTTTCTAAAAACATATCGTACAAACACTGGCCAGTAGTGTTTGCAGGAAGTGCTTTGCAAAATAAGATTTTTTCCGTGATACTGTCATCTGCTTCAAAGTGCATAAATACTACAAACTGTGCACAGTCGGAAACATCTGTAGATTAGTCCTTGACCATATCGTTTATTCTGCGTGAAATAGTATTGTCAGAAAGTGGTGTTTTTTAATTTGTTTGCCTTCTAATTACTTACCATAATTTCAACCATATCAAGTTCTGCTGGCAAAATAAGATTTTCGGCAATTGTATGTGGTTTCGTTGTTTTAGCAACTCGATATGGGACTTTATAGCTAGCTAATAATGTTGACTCGTTGACACTAAATGCCTGAAAATAAACCAAACAATATAAAAGTGAATAGTCAATAAAAATTAAGGACGTGGAACCTTTGCATTCCGAAATTAAGTATAATCAAAAGTTGTATGCAAACAACACATCATAAAACATCAACAGTAAAAATAGCAACAATTAGAATAGACTCGCCTTAAGCTTGTCGCTTAAGTGCATTGAGGGTCTTAACAACACTTCGTGGAGACTAGGAAAATATAATTTTATTACTTACCTGAATTATAGTGTATTTTGCTGCTGACTAACAGCCGTATGCATAGTCGATTGCCGGAAATTCGCCAGCGGATCGCTGCTAATACCGCCGAGATGAATCTCTGGCGAATCGCTGGCGACTTGCTGGAGATTGTCACCGGCATGTCATCTCTCTCAAGTTTTCATAATATTTTATAGAAACAATTAATTTTCATGTTCTTTTATGGGGAAAAAATTGATATTTGTTCATTGTTTTTTTAGTTTTAAAAATGAATCATGAATAACATGCGAGAGATGCCAGTGACAATATCGAGCAAGTCGCCACCTTTTCGAGATTTCGCCAGCGGATCGCTTGTGATACGTCGGCGAATCGCTGTCGATCGACTATGCATACGGGTGTGACGTGAGAGCTTTCAACTTTCGTTTAAATAAATCCAACGGCTTATCATTTTCTTTTTGATGCTTGGTTGTGAGATGCCGCATAAGCTTTGACGGTTTCATACTCTCACGTGATAAAACATCGCCGCAAATTACACATTGAGGTTTATTATTTATGACTGTGAACCCTTATTTCAAATAACTGTTACGTTTTATACTAAATGTTACGTTTACAAAGTTACGTTATAAAAACATATTTTGCACCAGATGATACGTTAAGTTTCTAATCCTTACCTGGGTCTCATTGTAAAAATCCTTATAATAAGAATTCTTACAAGCCTCAGGCCTAGCTCAGATCAAAATAGGTCAGTGGGATTCGTTTAGAATTTACCTTCAAGTCAATGACAAGGTCTTTAATTAAAAAGACTTAAAAGAATTCAATTAAATTAATTTGGGCGCCATACCTTTAGATGTACAATAAAAGTAAATTTGTCATTAACTTGTCAGTTGAAAGTATGGAAAAATAAAGAACTTAAATTTCAAAACAATTAATCGGCTTTAATTTCAAATTGAATTGAACAATTATTCGGCTTTAATTTCAAATTAAATTGAACAATTAATCGGCTTTAATTTCAAATTGAATTGACTGATATTACAATAAAAAGAAAATAAAATTTATTGATTTTAACAAATTTTACGGTTTACGTTATTTGACTGATAATGAGTTTAAAATTAAAATTGACTAGTATGACTATGACTCAAAAATTGTGTGTGTGGTCTTGGCCGACACTTATCTTGTGCTTCCGGATTTCAACGGTCGAACTGGTCCGTGTCGCTGTCTTATTGGTAGCTTAGCCTACGATGACTTCAAAATATTCTGCAGTTCTAGATGTAACTCAGCTTACAATGACTTAAGAGATTCTGCAGTTCAAGATGTAACTCAGCTTACAATGACAAGAGATTCTGCAGTTCTAGATGTAAAGGCCAATTCCTTAGTCGTTACAGAGCCAGTTCCTTAGTTTGTTCGGACACACTTAAACAAAGCACTAAAACCAACCGGTTTATTTCGCTTCTAGATTGAAAAAGAATTTCAAAAGCCAACAGCTGAACGAATGTGAAACGTGAGTATTCCACTTCCATAGGTAAGCCAAGCGTGCGCACAACCTCCGACAATAATTATTGATTTTTAGAGAAGGAGCATCATTGGTTGAGCCATAGAATGTCTCAGACAGAGACAAATTCCCGTTTTAACATAATATCTATATTTCCAAATACGAGGGGCGCTCAAAAAGTATTAGAATATATTGGAATATTTGAACTAATTAAATATTGTAATTATTAAAAGGGAGTGACGATTACAACGTTACACATCGTAATGTCTATTTTTCTTCGGGTTTGAATCACCACGACCGCTATTGACACTCGTAGCAGATGTTCAAGGCTGCGATCTTTTGAGAAATTTATCCATTTTATAAACGCGCGGAGCCAGCGGAAAAACAAAAGAATGACGTCCGTACTCATTGATGACTGCGCTTAACTGAGTAAGGTGTTGCCAGGTCGGTTACACAGTTAAGCAGTAGATTTCCGAAAAAAAAAAAACAGTAGATTAAGAAAAATAACAGTAGAATAAAAAAATAAACCATTTAATTTTTAAATTAATAGTTTTCATAAACAAAGATAAATCCAAATAAAAATAAAAGAAAAACTTTATTCCAACTCAGAATCAGATAATTCTGTTGACTTTTCGTACATTTGTTGATTATGTAGAGCTAATATATTTTTATTAAACTCAACCGAGAAACAATGTTTTCCTTGTGAAGTAATTAAGTTTTGTGTGTGTAAATTACCTGAAATCTTGTTTCTCTGTTGAGTTTTAAGAAGATTGACATTTGAAAATACTCTTTCCACATTTGCTGAAGAATGTGGAAGACTTAAGATATCAAATACAAAAATGGTTAATGTAGAAAAAAATTTTTTATTATCGGCGAAACTTATTTGTTCTACTTTATTTCAAAATCCTTCAATATCATTATCGTCTGCCCATTCAATTTCCGTATTTCGTTATAATCTATATTCATTGTCTAACTCTTGCAGCATATTTTCTTTCATTAAATTTGGAAATTTTTTGCTAGAGGCATGACACTAAAATATTCCCCTGACATAACAGTTTGAGGTTTTATTAAAAATAATGTTCTTAAAACTACATTATTAAAATCAAATCTCTGATTTATCTGCTTAACGGCCTCTATGAAAAAGTCTAAACATCGGGTTTTTAAAATGCATGTCTGATTTTCATTTAATTTACTATTAGCGGCAATTTGGGCCCCCAAATATATTCCAGAAAGTGGTAAATAATTCTAGGGTCTTTATAACTAATCTCATGTAATAGTGTTTTCAGAATAATGTCTCTCTTTATGAAGCATTCAAGAATTGTTTTGTATGTAGCCGTTGCATTTGAATGCAGTTCGTGTATTTTTGGTTTCTCACTTTGCATTTCCCTATTAATTTTATTAAAAAAAGGAAGTGAAAACTGCAGAAACAAAAGAAAATTTTTTGTTAACGGATCCTGTAGTTTAGAAAGGATGTTTTCAGCACTTTGACTATGGTCATTGGCCACCGCATCTACAAAAAAAAAAGAGTCAATGCATTATATTGCTCTAAAATCCGTACCACGATGCTTTCAATTGAAAGCCATCTTATCTGAGCCGGATGGAGAATTTTATGCTCCGGTATTTGGGTGAAATTTTGGAAATCTCTTAAGTATTCCACGCGCTTCGGACTATAAGAAAAGTAATTGTAAACATTTCTTGTAAATTCCTCTAGGACACTAGGAAGTTTCTTACAAGCACTAGAGGCACAGAGATTAAAACTATGACATATACATTTAAATAAAAAAATATCTGGTATTTCTTCCTTCAGTCTAGACATAACTGAATTTTTTGAACCGCACATAACGTTTGCTCCATCTGAAGCAAAGCCTATGAGGTTTGTTTTGTAAGAAATATTTTTCTGATTAAGCAGATTTATTATTTTATGGAAAATATTTTCAGCTTTGGCATTCTAAAAGTACGAATATAAATTACGAAATCTTTTTATTTAAATAAAGTTTCTACCTATTATTTAATCGAAATCTAGCAACCACAGTCAAATGTTTGGTGCATCCTCTATCCGTTGATTCATCAATAATAAGAGAAAATTTTGTGGTCTTCAAGATATCATAAATATTTTTTTATTGTGTTTTCCTTAACATTTTTTATTAACGCTGAACATTTCGTTCGACTGCGTTGTATTTTTTTTTGCTATTTCGGAATCTGGACAAAATTTTTTTATTAAACCTGGCAAGTGTTCCATAACGTTAAACGACAAATTATGCTCGCTTACAAATGCAGCCATATGTAAGTCTGCTTTTTTAACAGCGTCATCAAGATTTGAACTTGTCTTAAACAAATTGGTTAAAGATTGCTGGCCCTTTCTTCCCTTTAAAAACTTTTGGTGACTGTTGCATTCTTTATGTTTTAAAAGTATCGCCTTGCCGCTTGAACCAATTAGGATTTTTTTATCACACACTGTACAGAAAGCCTCTCCTTCTTTATTTCCTTTAGCAAGCCAACCCTTAAAATTTTCATCCTCTTCCCATTCTAATTTGAATTTTTGTTTATATTTACTTTTCTTAATCCTTTTTGGGATAGATGGACCTTCAAGTTTCCCGGAATCATATTCTGAAAAACTGCATAAGAGACATATAATTATACAAACATGATTGTAATAAATTAGTTAATAAAACATACCTCATTCTTCAGCTGTAAGTTTTTTTTTTCTAGTAAATAATTAACGTAACACGACACAACATTGCTTTAAAACTAGTAGTATCAATAATAGTATTGAAAAATAAGAAAAACATCGCACAGAAACAGAACACAAGCTACAGCCTACGACTACTACGGTACGGTCCTATGCGGTGATTCCCAGAATCGACTTGACAGAATAGACCTTTTCATCATGTGATGAGCGCAAGCACAGCCACCATGTTGAAATAGCGGTAATTCAAAAGTTTCGTACTGTTTTGATCGACAATGGCTGGGAAAGCAATGTTATTTCTACAGAAAAATTAATCATTAGAAAAAATCATTGATAGTGAATAACTTTTTTATAACTCTGTGGAAGCGCATAGTTGTGAGCAGTTGAAAAGGAGGTTGAAGTGTCTTGGATGTTTGTTACAAAGGAACAAAGTGGACTAATTGAGAGGTTAGGTGTATCAATACTTTTTAACTCTGTAAAAAATTAATGAAAACAAATAATAATTATAACTTTATTCTAATTAATTATGCCAACCAACTATTACTACTTGCAAAAACACTTTAATTAGCATAAAAGTTAATCACGAGTATAATTAATAAAATAAATTATTTATTATTTTGAGGATCAACATGACATTTTTAATCATTTAATGTGTATACCGAAGTAGTATTTAATATTAAAAAAATATTGTTTAATACCACATGCGAATTTTCTTCTGTTGGACCACTTTCTCCATGAAAATGCAGTGAAATATAAGTATCTTTAGTAACATCATTAATCCATCGAAAACCGTTGTCACTTCGACCATATTTTTTCACACTTAATGCACATTTCGAATATCTTTTAATATGGATTTTGCCTGATAATTGTTTACGATATTGCAGTTAAGGCTTTGGAAAATTTATAAAATAATATCTATTGCCTTTGAATGATTTATACCGTGTGTCACTTTTACATAACAACACTGTTTTGTTATTCCTTTCCGTACAGATAACATAATTATAATTGATTGTGAAAATGTATTTTTCAATTAATACACTAAACTTATTATTACTTTACTTTTTTCTTCCTTTTTTTAAATGAATATAAATTAATATTTATCAATTATAATTTTTTTCACGTAAGCATTTTAACATACTTGTTTACAAAAACAGTACGAAAAAGATGGCTGAAACTGACGCATGCGCACAAAAAAAATTGTGATGAAAAGGTCTATCCCCGCATGTATCGAGGATCCCGCGATCTATTAGATTTTCCATTAACTTAAATATTTTTAGGGCGTTCGAAAAATTTCTGGACGTCACGTTGCAGAAGTTCGTTATGATTTCATTAAGATGGCATATTTCCTAATCCATTTTATCTTGTTTTATAATTTTAAACAAGTTTCAGGATATTTTTTTCACGTTTTTGTTTAAGTTCGTCAAACTCAATTATAACAGTAGAACTTACCTTCTAGAAAGTAGAACAGTAGCCAAAGTCGAAAAACAGTAGATCTACTGCAAAAACAGTAGACCTGGTAACACTGAATTAGTGAGATGAGAGTTGAAACAAAAGAACATTGCGGATGGTGCGTGTGACTCGCGTATCGGGGACAACACTAATCCTTTGTAATTGCTGTGGTGGGAGATGTTTGTGTGAATGCGTTTTGTTTGTTTTCATTTAACTTTTAACTAACCTAAAATAAGTCCACTCGAGCATATAAAATATCTAATATGTAGGTGGAAAAAATCACTGCATAGATTTTACCTAATATCTTCTTTTAAAATAAATTACAGAAAATGGACAGATAAAAAAGCTGCATTTTTATTTCGAAAACTGAATTTAATAAAAAGTGGGAATCATGACACTAAGTACTAAATAACAAAAATGTATAAAAAAATATGTTGCACATAAAATATAGATAAAATATTATTCTAAATAACTAACCTAAAACTAAATTGCACACCGTTGTCTCAGTTTCTTTGGAAATTTCTTTGGTTTTTGTTTTCTTCAAAGGAAGTCTACGGTTTTGATGCTCAATTTTTTTATTATGTGGATCTGAGCATGAAGAGATTCATTTAGATGGTGTATCTACTGTATTCGATGAATGTCTCTTGTTACTGTCACGACTGTCACTCACGAGAATCATAAAGATGGAGGAAACAGGAAACAACAATGACAATTGACAATATAAAATTGTCAGAAATATACGAAAAAATAACGTAATTATGACGAATTCTAAGTGACGTTTATTCTACGTCATCAATGCGACGTCAAATACACGTTACTGATTAGTAGAGAGCGGAATATATGCAAAATGCATATATATGCATTTTTTGCATATTTTACCAAAGTTCAGAAAATATTGCATATTTTTCCAAAATTCAGAAAATATTGCATATTTTACCAAAGTTCAGAAAATTTAAGAAAATATTGCATATTTTCGAAAAAAAAATGTATGTGCAAATCAAAAACTGTTTTAACAGATTATACAGATATAGTTGAAATAAAGACCTTTTAAATTTTTGTATTTGTTTTTAAGTGTCACTTCTTGTAAATTCTTGTTAATTAGTTCTTGAAGGGGGGCATGCACTGGGTTTTTACCTTCTTAAGAGATTAAGTCCATTAAGGTAATTGTAAATAGATGGTATTTACACAGATAAAGTATTACCTACAATGCAATAAAACGGTTTATATAAAATTCTCAGTAATTTCTTGTAACCAATCTACCCTAACATCTGAATATTTTGAATGTTTTTCATTCAGTTTAATGAGATAGTATCCTCGTTATTTGCCTAGTGAAAAGTCTTGTAATAATTTGTTGTTTTAAAAGTGTCCTAAAATGTCGGGAATTTCTTCGTGGATTATTAACTTTCCAGAGTTGGAAATCAATGGGGATAAAATTTTTTGTAAAGCTTATGCCAAAATAGTGGTTTGCGAAAAAAAGTTCAAAGTGGTTCAACACATTTCAAAACGCCGACAAAACAAAAAGTGACAAGGATGTATTTAATCAGGACTTGTGCAAAGCTCTTGTTGCGGCAAATATTCCATTAAAGAAGTTACAGAACCTACATCTAAGAGAATTTTTACAAAAATATTGCAATCAAACCATTCCTGACGAATCTACACTCAGAAAAAAAATGTACATGCTATATATATAAATGTAATAGAAGAAATTAAAGTTTTACTGGATGATAGCAATTTTTACATCATTGTTGATGAAAGCACAGATGCTTGTGGAAGATATATGGTACATCTTATGATTGGAGCCTTAAAAGAAAATGAACCAGGTACATCATATTTAATTGCATCAAAACAGTTAGAAAAAACTAACAATACAACTGTTACCCGATTTATTCAACAATCTCTGGCAGAATTTTTTTTTCCAAATCAAATTCCCTCAGAGAAGTTCTTAGTATTTTTGTCTGACGCAGCACCATATATGATAAAAGTAGGGCAAAACTTAAAAATATTTTATCCAAATATGGTCCACGTTACTTGTCTTATGCATGGAATAAACTTAGTTGCAGAAACTGTGAGAACAGAATATCCCTTGGTTAACAAGCTAATTTCGAATGTGAAAAAAATATTTTTAAAAGCAAGAGTGCAGTTGTATAAAGAGAGAATGGTAGGGGTGTGTTTGTCCCCGGAACCCGTAATTACGCGATGGGGGACATGGATTAAAGCAGCTATATTCTATGCAGAAAATTTTGAAGCAATTAAGGATTTAATTTTGATATAGAAGACAATTCACAATGTGTAGTGCAAAGTAAAGAATTGTTAAAAAATCCTTTTGTGCCTAAGCAACTTGTGTCTATAAAGGTTAATTTTAGTTTTTTACCTGATGTAATAACTTCATTGAAAAACAAAAATTTAAGTTTAATCGAATCAACAAATTTTATTGCAACAGTTTCCGATAAATGTAACAATGTTCCTGGTGACATAGGCCTTAAGATTAGAAAAAAATTAAATACAACTTTATTAAAGAATGAAGGGTTCAATGAAATAAGGGAAGTGAAAAACATTTTTGAGGGAAAATTTTCCAAAGAAGTTTTACGTTGGCCCTGTACATTACTTCCAAAATTACGGTATTGTCCTATTACTTCGGTAGATGTTGAAAGGACCTTTTCTATATCAAAACATATTTTTACAGACAGAAGACAAAAATTTTTAATAGAAAATTTCTAAAAATATTTAATTATAAATTCCTATTATAATATTACTATTTAATATTTTTATACTATTCTATACTTAACTTTTACTAGTTTTTGTGTTTCGTTTGTTTTAAATAAATTTTTATATTACATATTTTCTTTTGTTTTTTTTTTTCGTGTAATGGTTTTGATAGCGTACCAAATTAGGAACAGCAATGTTAATTAGAACCAAACAGTGAATGGTCAAGTGGAAATATTCGCTAGGCATCAGAATTAATTTTTAAATAAATTAATTAATTTAAAAAATCGCGTCCCGGCTGAAATTTAAACCCGGGACCCCTAAGTCCACAGGCCAACGCACTAACCACTGAGCTACCCACCTCCTACTTTTTTTTAAGTATTTTTAACAAATATGCATTTGCATGTTTAGGCATAATTGGACAAAATAACTGCATATTTTTGGTAAAAACGATGCATATATATGCGCATATTTTGTTATATTTTGATGCATATATTCCGCCCTCTACTGATTAGGATATTGTATTTCGAATAAATTAATACTAAAAAATTACGTCATAATGACGAGTCTGTATTGACGTCTAATTAACGTTGCAAAAACGACGTCAAAGTAACGTTATTAATTGGGATAGTGACGTTTCTGACGACTAAACCCAACAAATCACGTCATAGTGACGGCACCTTGCAGCTTGGGTTGTTACTGTTTACCTGTTATAAAATTATTTAGATCACTTAATATTATTTGACTATGTGGATACTCAACATTACAACACTAAAAATTATGTGTTTAAAACACCTTACATAATATCGTGTCTTGAAGTAAAATAGGTCATTGTTTTTTTGG